ACACCCCACACACACCAGGTCCAGGCATAGTTTTCAATCCGGGGGGAGATAATAGTTTTTCTGCCTTGTTTAAGAAAGATGCTGAAAAATGATCAATCATAATCATTGGGCACGGCCGTGCCTGAGGTTCAAGGAAAGCAGGGACCCCACAGAACGGAAAAAGTAGTGTGGCCGCCGTATGCGAGCGTCTAATGTCTCACCGCGGTCTCCGTGCCAGCACCACGATTCGGGTCCGCAGTGCCAGTGGGAGCCTTTGAAACCCCCCCCCCCTCGTGTCTCTCTGTCGCTGGGCTCTCGACGTTTAATGAGATTCCAGCTCAGGCTTAAATGGCGCGTCTGATTGGCTGAGACCTGAACCCAGACACCCCTGGGACAGGCTCTGCTGTGAGTGATGCCTGCTGCTCCCCCTGGTACAGAGGGGGCTGCTTCTCAGACGGTGATGGTCTGAAACCTGTGGTGCCAAATGAGACCAAAAAAAGCCAGCTTAAGCTGCCCCCCCCCCCCCCGTCTGGCTCTGTCTGGCCCTGTCTCCTACGGTCATGTTTATGCTCTTAAATGAGGAAGTCAGCGCTTCAGCAAAATGGCGATGTTCGTTAAAAGTGGTTCAGATCCTAAATCAAATCCACCACAGCAGCACTCTTATAGATACCTAGAGTCATACCTACAGTGGTCATTTCCCATTAAAAGTGCAACAATTCATGCTTTTAATGGAACATGGAACCTCAAGGTTTGTCCTTTCAAGACGGAGCACCGATGGCCTCTGGTCCACCATCCTGCTCATGCTCATTACATGTTTAGCGATCGTGCTATGAGACTTATACTGTGATACTGTAAATACCAGCTACCAAAAGCATGGCAATAAGTGTCAAATTATTAAAGGAAACCCATAGAATCATGTGCTTAACATTGATTGAACACAGAATAAATGTGTGTGTGTGAGAGTATTATGTATATATTACATTGTGGGGACCATTTTTTTGGTCCCCACAAGGGGAAACTCATTCTTATAAAAATCTGTGACTGCTGCAAAAAATAAAAATGCCAAAAGTAAAATATTTTGTTTGGTGACTTAATGTTATGGTTAACGTTAGGGCTGGGTAGGGGTTAAGGTCGTCCTGATGGGATTGGAGTTTTCCCCATAGAAATGAATGGAGTCCCCAGAAAGATATAACTACAAATCTGTGTTCGTGTGTGATCTGAAATATACATTTGGCTCCCCATGGATTTTATAGTTAAAGCCATCAAGGAATTAATACTTTTGAGATGCTGGAAGTGAAACAAGTGGACATTAGTTTGCGATCAGGCTGTACTTTACTAGCGTGGCTCTTCATGAATATGACATGGAGGCTGCGGTTCTCATCAACGCTTCTCCCAAGCTGATGCGTCTGGCAATCCGAAGTGAAAGCCACTGTGCGGAAACCTTCTGCTAGTGGTTCCAGTGAACGATGGGGGTTCCGCTGCTACTAGAACTTGAAATATGACTCTTGCCGTTTAAAATATTAAAGCACAAAACAATGTGACATGAAAGTAAAGAAATTGCTTCCTGGGGGGAAAAAAAAGAAGAAAAACAAAATCACCCTGCAGAAATAACACTGATAAAATCCGGCCTCCGGATATTTATTTATTTTCCACTCCCTGGGGGAGCAGCTCAGTGTTTATGGGGGCCCAGACGAGTCATCGCTGTCTGGGGGGTGTGCTGCGGGTCGCTCTCGAGAGCCGTGCCGGAGGGCGACTGGGCAGCCTGGCAGAGTGTGGCCTGGCGGTTGCTGGCAGCGCCCATCACCATGGCAGCAGTACGCCTGCTGCATTGGCTGGGTGATGTATGAAACGCAGCCTGTCTGTGGAATGAGCAGGAGCGTAAATACACCAAAATCTAGTTAGAAAGGACAGGAGAACAAAGACCCATGTTATATTGGGAATGCAGTAAGGTGTTGATTTAGGGGATGAAGCGAAAAGGTGCGATTTTAAAAGCTGTTTCCTGGAAGGAACCTAGTCTTCAGCAAGCAATAATGTGACTAACACAGCGCAATGGGAGACGAACAGTTTTTCATTTTCAACAGAAAGGACTAAAAGCTGAAAAACCGCTTTAAAGCCATAGTTTTGTTCCACCTCTCATTAAAGCCCAGTCATGTTTAGTTTTTTTTTTTGTTTTAAATTTTCTTACATGTGAAAATGTGTTTTTACAGCCCTTTTAGACCCTGATCTCTGTTACCCTGAGCAGTGTTACAGGGATCTGAATCAGTAATGAATTAATCAGTGTGCCGCAGTCAGTCACGGCTGGGCTGATTCGCTCACCTTGCAGTTTAATTGGCGTAAGAGGTGCAAACCACACTTGTGATGAACAGAATTATCACGTTTCCCGAATGTCACCCTGGGGGGAGCGCCTCTCTGGGGTGTGTATAGCGCAGCAGGAGCCTCCATGCTTAGGGCGGGGGTGGGGGCTATTTCTGTCATAAACACAGAGGTAGAAAGTGACACTAAACTGGGGGGGCTAATCAACACCTGGGAGGTGGGAATCAGTAATGTGCCGTTTTGGGGAGTGTGTGTGTGTGTGTGTGTGTGTGTGTGTGTGTGTGTGTGTGATGAAATGTGAGTGTGCCTGTCATCCAAGTCACTGATTTTTTTATTTTATTTTTTAAAAATTCTTTCCAAATATAGCCCTAAAAATGACAGCACATTTAGCGGGCGTGTGTTTGGGGATCGTCTTTGGGGCTTTGGACTTGGTCTCAGTGATCGGGAAGCTTCAGAAATCTGACATGAGGTGGAGTCTGTGACGTCCTTCAGAATTAGCCTGGCAGGGATATCGGGGAGGCCTGGTCTTCAGCCTGAACACAGGATGTGGGTGGGAGGGGATCATGCACGGGAATGCTCACACACACACACACACACACACGCGCACACACACACGCACACACACAGCTATGCATATATACAGACACACACACATACGCTGCAGTGTTCTCTCTCTATCACATACACACGCACACCACACTGTTCTCTTGCTGACACACACACAGCCTGCAGTGCTCTCTCCCTCTAACTGACACACACACACTGCAGTGATCTCTGTCTCTGACACATCCACACAGCCTGCAATGGTCTCTGTCTGACACATACATAGCTTGCAGTGCTCACTCCCTTTGACACACACACACAGCCTGCAGTGCTCTCTCTCTCTGACACACACACTGTAGTGATCTCTGTCTCTGACACACACATTCACATAGCCTGCAATGGTCTCTCTCTTTCTGACACGCACACAGCCTACAGTGCTCTCTCTCTCTCTGACACACACACACACACCCTGCAGTGCTCTCTCTCACTCTGGACACACCCACAAACACTTTGCAGTGCTCTCTCTCTGACACACACACCCTGCAGTGTTCTCTCTCTGACACACACACATCCACACAGCCTGCAATGGTCTCTCTCGCTCTCTCGCACACACACACAGCCTGCAATGGTCGCTCTCGCTCTCTCACACACACACACAGCCTGCAATGGTCTCTCTCGCTCTCTCGCACACACACACAGCCTGCAATGGTCGCTCTCGCTCTCTCACACACACACACAGCCTGCAATGGTCTCTCTCGCTCTCTCGCACACACACACAGCCT